TGTTTCGAGGTGGTGTTAGATGATGCCAAAATATTTGAAATTGCCTTGCATGCTTGTAAACATATTACTTATTGTCATCCTAATAAAAAACTAAACGAATCATGTAAACATAAAATGTAAACATCTTCAGTGAAGAAATATACATTTTCACATGCACATCGCAATATTTTCATCATTCGAATAAATCCTTCATTACATTGAGATGAAAAATTGAAATTTTCGTTCACCATAACGTCATTTCTTCATCTAAAGTTTCTTTGTTTTTTCCCATTTTTTTCCGCTCCTTTAGTCTATTACAGTCAATTGCCCATACTTGGGACATCACACTTTATAGGGACGAAATTGTTGGTCCTCCCACATGGCACCACGTCTACTAGAAACAAAAATGTTGCAGTAGAATTGTCAGAATACACTTTTTTTATAGTATATGTAGAGGGTGGGCCACCAGTAACGCCTCGGTCTCTAGAAGGCTAACCACTTATCTTCTTGGAATTCTTCCTCTCTAGGAAGTTGCATGTCAACATAGGCTACCATTCAAAATTATTTCGAAACATACAGGGTGTCCCCAAAAACCATAAAACACGGGAGTTAAACTTTTTTCTATCGAACACCCTATATATTATTTCATTTTGAGATTCTTCCTGATGAGCTCAACGACCCATCATACTTGTGGTCTAGCAGTTATAATTACTGAAATATAGGGTGTGAAAAATCGAGATTTTCCAAGTTCAAGAATTTTTTGTGTCGAAACTATTCATAATTGGTCAAAACGGCTTACATGTCCCTATCTCAACTTTTGATTAACTATCTACTGATATTTAATTGGGACATATACCGGGTGATCAAGATTCTGAATTCTGCACCACCCTGTATTTGTTTCAATTAAATGTCAGTAGATAGTTGATCAAAAGTTGAGATAGGGACATGTGAGCCGTTTTGACCAATTATGAATGGTTTAGACACAAAAAATTCTTGAACTTGGAAAATCTCGATTTCTCACACCCTATATCTCAGTAATTTTAACTGCTAGACCCCAAGTATGATGGATTGTTGAAATCAGCTCACCAGGGAGAATCTCAAAATGAAATAATATATAGGGTGTTCGATAGAAAAAAGTTCAACTTCAGTGTTTTATGGTTTTTGGGGACACCCTGTATGTTTCGAAATAATTTTGAATGGTAGCCTATGTTGACATGCAACTTCCTAGAGAGGAAGAATTCCAAGAAGATAAGTGGTTAGCCTTCTAGAGACCGAGGCGTTACTGGTGGCCCACCCTGTATAAATCAAAAGTGTGCAAATATTCCAAACTTGAGACAACTACTGTCTCCAATTTTTTTTTTTCAATCAGAAATGATCGATCAATATTTTTATTTTCAATCAGACATGATCAAATTTCAAAATGGGATGACCCATGTAAAGATTGTAAAGCTCCTAAAAAAAGACGAACATCAGCAGAATGAATGAATGTCCCATGTTGGGAACTATCAGCTCATCTTGGGACAGCAATTTTTCTGTGTGGTTACATAATTTTTTTTTCAAAAGTGGTTGAATATATAAGGTGGGTCACGGTCGATGATGGTACCTTAGACGGACATAGGAACATTCTAAAAATTTGGTTGCTCAAGTAGTTGCTCTTGCGGTCGATGGATCTGAAATATTTACCAGAACGTAGTAGGAACTCTGATATTTCATTGCATTTTTAGATTCTCCCTGAAGAGCTTATTTCTTCAATGTCTCACACTTTGGGTCAGCGAAGCTGATTACAGAGATATAGGGTGTTGCGATTTTATTCGTTTATACGAACTATCGCATAGATTTCGGGAGGATGTAATGCAATGTTCTGCGTGGCATATAGCCAGGAAAGTAGTTGTTTTTCTCTCGTTATCTACCATTGTCGTTCATTTTATGAACTAGTATGTGGTAATGACTTTGAGTTTCTCTCTTTTTGTGACCATTGCATTCCACTTTGAGTATTTTGCTTTTTCCCTAGTTGAATTATATTTTATCTGATACCCATGTACAGGGTGATTCACCATAAATGTCCCCCCCTCTAGCTCAGTTATTTTTGAATCGATTTCAAAATTTGAAATATCATCCCAAATGATTTTCGATGAAGTTTTTTTCTTCTACATCAGAAGATACAGGGTGCTCGGAACAAACGATCTATAGAGTACTATTCGATTTTTTTAAATGAAACACCCTATTTTTCATTGTATTTTCAGATTCTCCCTGAAGAGCTGATTTGATCGATGTATCACACTCGGGGTCAAGCGGGAATGATTACAGAGATATAGGGTGTTCAAAATCGAGATTTCTCAACTTTAGGATTTTTTGTGACGAAACTATTCATTATCGGTCAAAACGGCTTTCATGTCCATATTTCAACTTTTGATTCACTATCTACTGATATTTAATTGGAACAGATACAGGGTGATTAGAATATCACCATGTATTTGTTCCAATTGAATGTCAGTAGGTTAGTGAATCAAAAGTTAAGATAGGGACATGACACAAGACACAAAAAATCTCCATTTGGAACACCTAACATCTCTGTAATCATTTCCGCTAGAGCTCCAAGTGTGATGCATTGACAAAATCAGCTCTTCAGGGAGAATCTTTATAAAAATGCAGGGTGTTCCATTTGAAATATCAAAGTTGCTACTACTTTCAGGTATACACGCGGCAACGCTGCATTGCTGAAAATATTTTAGATCGATAGACCAAGAGCAAGGACTTGAATAACCAAATTTTCAGAATGATTCTATGTCCCGTTATCCTTAAACGTCTGAGGAAGGTACAATCGACCGTGAACCACCCTGTATAAAACGATTGAAACCTATATGGAACCACTCAACTTTCAGCACGAACACTGTTTAAATAATATTTATAACAAATTTTTTAACACTTTCAGTTGAAAACTGTTCCAAGTATGGGCGAATGACTGTTTTTCAGTGTCATAGTACCTATACAGAGGTGGACAAAAGTATAGAACCTACACAAAAAAAAATCCTAAAGCTGGAAAATCTCGATTTTGAACACCTTATATCTCAGTTATCATTCTTGCTAGACCCCAAGTGTGATGAATCGATGAAATCAGCTTCTCAGGGAGAATCTGAAAATTTAATAAAATACAGGGTGTTCTGAAAAGGAACATTCTCAGATATATTTATGAACACACAAAAATGGATATATATATACAAAGGAATACATTGAGAATTCGCATTCTCCATGTGATGAGAATATCAATTCTTTTCTCAACAAATTATAATTCTCAGATTTCAGTTTGTTATAGTTTTAGTTATATTATAGGAAGATGAAAATTGTGTATATCATGAAGAATGGCTGAAAGAATAACTGGACTTCAGGTTACTGATGAGGATATGATATCCGAAATGAATTCATATAACCTGTTTGTGATAGATATAATTCCCATATCACTGACACGGAAAGAGTTCATACAAGTATACTTACTTCTCCTATACATTTCAATTTTCATTTCAATACTGAACATACCGTTAAGTTATATTTTTATATCATAATACATCATATAATTCTATTCGATTTGAGAGATGATGTTAATTCTCAATTTCAGAGGATTTTGATTTTTCATGCTCTCTTTTTTTGGATATTCAACAGATATAATTCAATGTTCGACGTGGCAAATAGCCAGGAAAGTAGTTGTTTTCTGTTGAATATTCAGAATTATATTATAAGTATGCATATCTTAATATCTGAAGGAGAATGCAAATTCTCTACTTCAGAAGATTTTGTTTTCAAATTCTTATCGTGTGTTCAATAGATGTAATTTAATGTTCATCGTGGCATATAGCCAGGAAAGTAGTTGTTTTCTGTTGAATATACCGAGGAAGAATTAATATTTCCATCACATAGAGAATGCGAATTCCCAATGTATTTCTTAATGTACTTATAAAAATCCATTTTTTCATGTTCATAATATATCTGAGCATAATATTCCCTTTTGGAACACCCAATATTCATAAGACATTTTCTTTCCAGATTTCAAGTTATCTTTTTACATAAAGTTTCATCTATCTTGGCTCAACATTTGAAAAGTTTCAGTTGATTGTGAATGTCATAAAATACAGGGTGTTCCAAAATTCAATATCAAGATTTCAGTGCGTTAAAATTTCAAGATTTTCTCCTTCTTTCCTTTAGAGCTCTTCCAGTTTTCGATCAAATTTGAAACATAGGTTACGTTTTAGGGTTTACATCGTACAGAATATGTCGAGTGATTGTAAAAATCCACAGGGAGATATTTTTTCAGGAGTCATGTCCTTTCTCGCTCCGTGGACTTTTTTGTGATGCGCCACTGGTAGATTTAGAAATACGAAATATGCTATTTTTTTTGTTTATAAACTTTTCCGTCTCTCGTAATTTTCACGCATCTACTGCCAACATCGAGAAAAAATATAATGTTTTTGAAATTAGCTAGATTTAATTGAAATTGTTAACAAAAGGGAGCAGGAACGTATTATCACAATCGCAACAAAAAATGCTACATATTCAGATTGTGATCTTAACTAAAGAATAAAAAAACCTAACGAACCTTGACTTAAAATAAGAGGTGCTGGAAAATAAAAAAATTATCTCGGAAAGTATTGAAACTTCAACGCTCTCTAGATCAGTAACGAAGCTTTTGAGGACACCTATTTATAAAAGAAAAGTATTTTTTGACCTGAAAAGTAAGTTCCTGAAATCGTGATACTGAATTTTGAATTTTTTTCTTCCTATTGGGATGAATTCTATAATTATATTATCTACTATTTCACAACTATATATTATAATTCATGAGAACCGGCTTGTTTTTTCAAATGGAACCTCGGTATATTTTTAAATACTAGCAAGTAGCACTTATTTAGTTGGACTTGATAAACCTTCAACGTGTTTTTAATATGCTGAAGCAGTCACAGACATCAAACTGAATGTGTGGAGAAATTTAAAATCAAACTACCTACCTATACCTATGTTTTTTTTTTCAGGATTTCAAACCAGTTCCATACCCCAAAAGTGATTATGGAAAATTATACACCGGAGATTCTTACATCGTCTTGTTTGTGAGTATTTTTTGTCCAGCACATAATATAGAAACACAGTTCGGACTTGTTTTTTTTTCAGACAAAAATTAGGAAGGACGGCAGAAAATCCTACGATCTCCACTTCTGGTTAGGAGCTGATACTAGTCAGGTATGTGAAAATTGCAATAACATGTGTCTTGGTTATTCCTTCCACTATTTCACAATCTTGGAATTCATACTCCGTACTTCGAACCCACTTGTATAATAGATCGTCAACATAATTTATCATTGGCTCAGTGGCGTATACAGAGTGTGCTTTGCAGGTTGATGAACATATTTTAGGAGCTGACCAGAAACGTCATTTAAAACCTATTTAGTCCTACTTAACTTCAGTACAAAGTCATGGGTGATTCTAGATTTTCGCCTTGTTTTTTTTTTAATCTAGAAATCTAGAAATCTAGGAAATAAGTGATAAGGTATATCTTCTTTGTTTTTTCAATGATTGTACGTACCTAACTAATGTGATACATCTAAACATGTTATGAACATTAATAACATTATTTTCATTTCCGAATGTATAGTTCTGATTAGGTGATCCTTCTACGATTTAGGTTTATGCGAATTTTTCTCATAAAATGAAGTCTTGTATCGATTGTCAAAATCCTGCTATACAAGGTAATTCACTATAAGAATGAGCAATCTCTGAAGTACAGATGATTCAGCCTAGCATGCCTTATAAAAAATTTGCTGCTTTATAAGAGCTAAAAGGTGTTCAAGAGGATAATTTAATATAAAATTTCTGAATAACTTTTGTCGAACATTTTCTTGTTGTTGGTGTAGTTAGTGATTGTCATTATTAATAACTGTCTTTTTTTTAATGTCACGTCTCTTACTCCATAATTTAACACAGATCTCTTCTCAATGTCACATCCATGTGTGCCATTTGTTTGGTTCCCACCACAAACTAAATGAAAGTTTTCCGGGAGTTCGTTGGATTTCCAATTCGCGATGTGTTAATCACATTAAACGTCGTGGAGATGACTTTGTGTATCATCAAGTATTTAATTTGAAAAAGACCATTTTTTTTTGGAAAATTGAACGGGCTTTCTCATTTTTGACTCATTTTCACCATTATTCAATGGACGAAAAAGATATGATGTAATCCACAGAAGTAACAGAGCATCCTCAATGGGCAATCACAAAATGAGTTACAAATTTTTATTTCTAATGTCAAAAACCCTCTGAAACTACGAAATTTTATGTTCCTGCTATTAAAACTTACAAAGGTAGGTATAAAGAAATTTTAAAATATCTTCTCCCTGATCACCCTCAGACATCTCCTTAACCATCAGCAACATCTTTATAAGGCATGGTGGCTGAATCTTCATATTTTGGTTTTCACTCTCTGTAGTTCAGTAATTTGAAGATTTCCATTCTTGATGAATTGACCAGTATATTGTTTCAACCCGGTACAGCCTGTGAGTATCTAAACTGGTCAACATTGATAACATATATTCTTCTTCATCTCGGAACAATCTGGACATATTTTTATCGCACCTTGTGTATCCAGCGTCAAGAATAAGAAATATGAATTTCATACTTCTGGAACAACAATTGTAATTTTTTGAATTTTATAATTTATCTTAACGAAAATGCATCATTTTGATTGAAAATGCGAACCTTTCATTATATCACCTTCGATCCGAGAAATTACAAAACCATTTCGAGGTGAGACACCAGACATCCTCATGACGAAGTAACACTCCATTATTTCACTATAGTAACACAGAGAAAATTATGTTTCATCTACTGAAGACTACGTTATTCTCCATTCTATCATTCAGTATTTCTTGTATAACTTTGTATAGATTTCTTCAAAATTTCCTGTGTTCGAACACAATCACATGATCGAAGCTTACGCCCATTTACAGGTGTATGTAATAATACATGGTTATTAGTTGGATCGCTAAAAATATATACCTATATCTATACATAACTCGAAAAGAATATAAACTAAGAAATGTGAAACTAGTTCCTCAAGGCACTAAATAGTCTATGCTTGAATTGAGACAGCGAGAGAAAAAATATATCAATTCTTCGTGAATTGTTGTAACTTCGGCACATTGTTGTAAGGGGACAATGGAAGTGATGTTGTGTGTTGGGCACAGCAATTCGGAACGTAATATCTGATCTTGACACAGATCGTGGTACATTGAAATCAATCAGAGAAACTAATGAGGATGAATCGATATGATTATGGATTATTTCATGCATAAAAGTTAAATCGATTATTTCGCGATGTTTTTTAAGAGTAAATAAATCGAATTCGTTCAGCAATAGGTCATAGCTATAGTGTCTTTGAGGATACACGCCATATTTTTTATAGTATGCATATTTTAAAAACTTTCTTTGAGCTGATTCAATGGCTTCGATATATTTGGAATGACATGGATTCCATACGACACTGCAGTAATCTAATTTACTTCTCACCAATGAGAAGTAGACACTGCGCAAAGCACCAAATGATTTGAACTCCTTACAGGTACGAATCAAAAATCCCAAAGACTTCATAGCTCTGCCTATTACACTCTCTATATGAGTAGAGAAATGTCAACTTCTGGTCAAAAAGAACTCCTAAATCTTTGAATTGTTGAACTCGTGCTAGTTGTGAAGTATATCCAAGTGATAATCGAATGAAATTGGGGTAGATTTTCGTGTGAAAGTCATGACTTTACATTTATTGGTATTCAAAGAGAGTTTATTTTTGAGACACCAATCATTGATTAGATCAAGATCCAGTTGTAATAGTTGACAGTCATCAATAGTTTTAATTTCTCTGTAGATTTTCATGTCATCAGCAAATAGTAGTTTAGCAGACTAGATACGATCACATATATCATTGATAAAAAGTAAGAACAGTAAAGGTCCTAAATTGGAGCCCTGTGGTACTCCTGAAGTTGCCTTGAATGTGAATGATTTGACACCATTATATTCTACTAATAACTTCCTATTTGATAAGAAAGATTTTAGTAGTAACTCAATGTCATCGGATATGCCGAAGCTAGACAATTTTCTCAATAATTGTTGATGTGATGCACGGTCGAATGCTTTGCTAAAATCTGTATAAATTACATCAACTTTATTTTTGCAGTCAAGAGCATTAGACACATATTGGGTGAAAGTACATAAATTTGTTGCCGTGCTACGCGATTTCACAAAACCATGTTGAAATTCAGATTGAGAAGTTCGAACATGATTGTAGATTGAGTCAAATATAATTATTTTTAGTAATTTGGAGAATACAGAGATTAGTGCAATCGGTCTATAGTTTTCAATACCAATCTTTCCTGATTTGAATACTGAACACACGTGATAACTTAGGGTAGGAAAATTACATGTTTTCAGCTGTTATCAAAGCTCTGAATTTGAAAATTCCGAAAACGTTTCGGGAGAAAGCATCAATCAAGAGGATACAGGTGAGAATTTTTTTTAAAAAAATTTTCTGTTCAAACGGTAGGGTGACGACCACGATGCAATTTTACACCCATTCAATAATCACCCTGTAGCAATTTTATCTGAAATTACAGAAGTTTCATATTGTCACAACAAACTGTCAAGAGATTAGGCTAATCATCGGTGAAAACCGATTTCAAATTGGTAAGGAAATTCGTGAGTTATTCTACTTTGAATTCGGGCTATATTTTGGACCACGACGTTATCAATGTTGACCAGTTTATGTATAGAAGTTTTACCAAGAAAATTAGAACATAATAAAGATGTTGATGCTGATTTGTTTCGTAATGTTATGGTCATGTTATGGTCTATGACTATGAATCATGATGAATCACATCGGAAGCAATTTTACCTTACTATACGAGGTCAGGTTAGGATAGTCGGATTTTTTCATTCGACCATGAACATTGACGTAAACATAATAAAAGACGATGTTAAACTCGTGAAAGACCTAATAAGATACTTCAATACAATTTTCAAGGTATAAATATCTGACTAGGTAATCTGGGTATAAAATAAGTAAATAGTCAAGGTACAATAATATTTTGAAGACCCCAAAATCACTCTAAATTATACATATATGTAATTTGAACATTGATAAAGAAGAGACTAAGTCAAAAAGTGGGTTTTCATATAGTATGAAATCAAAAACATTGGATTTCATTGATAAAAATTAGATCTCCAAATCTAATTAGCTAGAGGTATATCTGCTTATAATAATAGTGAATCATACAGTTCATTACCTATTCTCTTGGATTCCTGTTGGCCTGTTGCTCGAAATCATACCAGCTTGATACAAAAAAAATTGCTGAAATTTTTCAAATAGATATTATGTTCGATCGAGTGTTAGAGTGTAGGTTAATCGAGGAGGTATGGTACATTAATTTTTCCAGATTTTTTGGGATTTTTCCTCCTTCGTTCCACTGCGTTTGAATAATTCTCCTATCAGAGACCCTGAAAGAAAAATTCACTAGCTTGTTAGTGACAATTTGTATTGAAAAAGGTTTGGAGGAGAGAAATAAAGGTATAAAGAAAAAATATCAAATTTTCACTCATCTTTGGACGTTTCGGGAAAGAATCTGCTCCCGTTTTCAACATAAAAAATTAATATTTGATTGTCAACGTCACCAATTATCACTGAGAACAAATATCCATTTTTTATGTTGAAAACGGGAGCAGATTCTTTCCCAAAACGTCCAATGAATAGTGAAAATTTGATATTTTTTCTATATACTTTTATTTCTCTTCTCCAAACCTTTTTCAATACAAACCGTTAATGACAAGCTAGTGAATTTTTCTTTTATGCTCTTTGAAAGGAAAATACCTCAAACGCAGTTACACTCTGTGTCAAATCATCTGATTTGTCCCTACTACGCGTATATTGAAATAATATTCATATATTTATTTTATAGAAACGAGGAGAGAAAATCCCAAAAAAATCTGGAATAATAGATGAGTATATACGAGTTTAAAATGATTCTTGGTAGCTGATTAAATGCTCATGAAGGTCAAATCACCCTTTTCTCAACTTTTCCTTAGATATCACCCTTAAATTTAGTTTTTCAAATTGCACCCCTAGTTTCATTTCACATGCACATGGCATCGAATCATGTACCGTAAAAAAATTCTAATGCCTACTAATCTCCCCTTATCCAC